CACCCTCAAACTACAAGGCTGGTTTGTGATCCTTAGGGCTACGGGCCCGCCCCAAGCGATATCCCATGGCCACTATATCAACCTGACGCTAAATTTCACTATTGGTGGTGATTTGAATATTCGACGTGATGCGAAGTAGTACTTCATTTAGCAAAGTTGAACGAGCTCACTAGTCGGACGGTGCATATTCGGCTGCTAATCGGTTTCCAAACAATCAGAACAGCTTCAGCCCTGGAGTTCAGAGTAATGTCATCACACCGAGACTGGACCTTAACGTGGGGCGATGATTTGTGTGCCTCAGTGATCCATTGAGCTATCCTGGGTGGTGCTTTTTTGCACCGTCAGAGCCACTCGTACCAGATTGATCAATGGCCCTCCAGCTTGGGGGTTGGAGTGAGGGTGGCTCCTTACTTCATAAAACGAGCTCTCTGTAATCCAGTGTCAAAACACCGTTTCTTTGCAGTAAGATTCTTGAACTAAAGGCTTTGGTTGAGAACCCTAATCGTTTTCCTGTCTAGGCCTGGACAACCTGTTAGTATTCTGCCCACACGATACAATGAACCTTTCTTCTAACAATTTCTTGATGCTCTGGTCGTCGCAGAGGATAATCAATGGCACCCTATCTGCTGCGTCGAACGGGGTGGATAGGGTTATGGATGCCACTGCTCAGGCCTTCCCATCTTCTTATCTTCCATCTTGCGCTTTTTCATCCTTATCGTCCCGTTCCAACTTTACTTTTATCCCCCCCCCTTTTCAATTCCCCCAGTTCTTGGCCCCCCACCTTGCTTCAGTAGTCGCTTGTCTTCTAGTTTCAAATCGCACACCGTCGCAGGGCATCGCTCCAGTCCAGTCGACAAGTCCATGTTCAACCAAGCTGACAACGTCAGTTCATCCGTTTCCGCTAAGACTGGCATGCCTCAACGTACTATCTTCGCTACAGATTGGCCAACATGCAGCACTTGCCCGCACACTAGAGACCCTATCGATTGATATTTGCTGTTTATCAGAAACCCGCCTGCAAGATTCGAGCTCTGTGGTTACCCTGCGATCCCGCACATGCGACACTGGCGCCACATTCTCATTGCGCCTGTCTGGCGATGATGCAGTTTCAAATGCCGGTCAAGCTGGCGTCGGCGTTCTCTTGAGTCCCCGGGCTGAAGCTGCCGTGATCGATTGGATCCCAGTCAGAACTCCGATGTGCGCCGGTAGAATAGCTGGTTCGTTCCATGCTACGAAGTCGCGCGGGGACAAACGATGCCTGTTTGTCATTGTGGCCTACGCCCCTACAAACTGTAGCACTGATTCGGTGAAAGATGCTTTTTATCAGCAACTTCACTATCTCCTTCGTTGCAGAAGAAGCACGGATACTGTGGTGTTGGCTGGCGATCTAAACACCCAAGTCGCAAAATTGTTCTCTGATGAGCTTCATCTGGACGGTTAACAGTGTAGACTCCCGTAATGATAACGATAAGCGATTTCTACGGCTGTGTGAAGATGCTCGTATCTTTCTCGCGAGCACAAACTTTCGACACAGCACCTGCATGAGCGTGACTTGCAGCCCACTTGTCTCGGGCCAGCCATTGACGCAAATCGAGCATATCGCTAGCAATTAACTCTGGAGAGGCTGTGTACAAAACTGTCGCTCGATTTGGAGCACGAGCGTGGACTTTGACCACGCACTTGTCTGCACCGACCTCCGAGTGCGTTTTGGTGGCTCTCCGCAACCTCGATGTGAACGGACTGACACAAGCCAGCTGGCGAAGCCAGGTGTTCTAAATATGTATCAAAGTGCGCTCACATTCAGGCTGAGTAAGCGCCCACTGATCACCGTCGAAGATCACTGGTCGCATATTCGTCAAACGTTACTATCAGTAAACATGTTTTCATGTGGCAAATCAAATTGCCAACCTGGACATTGGGTCTCTAAAAAGTCTCTGGAACTTATGGATGCTCGCCGACGTATTCCGGCTAGAAACGAATACAATGAGGCTCGCAAAAATCTCAGGTCAATACTGCGTGCTAGTCTGAAGAAAGCACGAAGTCTGGTGGTCTCATCGTGCCTCGGAGATGGAAACAGCCGCTACCGTTGACAATCATCGTAAGTTATTCCGTCTGATACGGGAAACAGGCAGCAGGAAACCTGGTGTTAGCGAGACCATACGCGACAAGAGTGGGCAGCCGATCCACCGCCTGTTACAACGCTTTTGATCGTTATGCCGAACAATTTGCAAGGCAATGTAACCAAACTGAGTTATCGCTTTCTCTTTCGGGCATTGAGCACCCTTCTCTCTGGGCCGTCACTTTGGATCTGCCCTCACGCGCAGAAGTCGAACGTGAAGTCAGGCTGTTGAAATTGCATATGGCGGCAGGGGCAGATGGAATTCCTCCAGCCCTCACCAATTTCGGGAGACCTACATTAGTAGATCATTTACACGAATTGCTAGTGAAACTTTGGGAGCATGAGACTGTCCCGACAGACTGGAGCCGCTCCGTCATAGTCCCAATTTTCAAGGGAGGCTTCCGTTTGGAATGCGGCAGTCATAGAGGGATCAGTCTTATCTCAATTGCCTCTAAATTGCTTGCGTCTGTCATTCTCCAAAGACTGACTGGCACCCGTGAAAGTCAGATTCATGGAAAGCAAGCCGGGTTTCGTCGAGGTCGGGGCTGCATCGACCACCTTTTCACCTTGCGTCCATTGTTGGAACACCTGTATGTTTATTGGCGACCCACCGTTGTCCTGTTTCTTCACATAAAAGGTGCCTTCGACTCATTCGATCGATGTGCCCTTTGGGCTGTCTGCTGAGGAAAGATGTGCCTGATAAATACGTGAACATTATGAAAGCGCTGAACGTGCATAGTTTAAGCAGAGTGAGGGTTTATGGCAGACTGTCGCCACCCTTCAGTATCACCAGCGATGTGAGACAAGGTTGCCCGCTGTCACCTTTCCTATTTAACTTCGCAATTGACGAAGTCATGGAATCAGCGTTTGCTGGACATGATCTAGATGATGCGGAGCTACTTCCTGGTGAGCGACTTCTTGATTTGGAGTACGCGGACGATATTGCCCTAAGCTGTGACAGATCCCAGACATGCCAGGCAGCACTGGACCGATTATCACTGACTGTCTATTGTTTTGGGGTATGCTTTGCTACATCAAAATGCAAATTACTTCTCCAAGGTTGGCAGGGAACCACCCCTGCGCTAACGCTTGGTGGTGGTCTGCTAAAAGTCCTTCAGGAATTCAAGTACCCGGGCATCTATACTAGCGCCCGTGGGATCGAAGATGACGTTATAAACCGTATACCAAAGGCTCGAGGTGCTTTTGCCACTCTCCGCCACCTGTGGCGCAGCCGCGACATTACTCTCGCCCTGAAGGGCATAGTTTTCAACGCAGCCGTCCGTTCAACTCTCATATATGATTGTGAAACCTGGCCCATCAGGTCGACAGGCATAAAGAGGCTAGCCACATTCGATCATCACTGCCTCCGCAGCTTAGCTCATATCTGGTGGGAGCAGCGCGTGAGCAGTGAGCGTGTTCGGTGCAGGGAGAGCGAGTGAACCGCTCAGCACCATTATAGCACGCACCAGGCTCCGATGGCTGGGCCACATGTTGCGCATGCTAGCATACCGACTCCCGCGACGTGCTTTGTTTGCGCGCCGGAGGTGCGGTTGGAAAAGAAGGAGGGGAGGCGCAGCGATGACTTGGTCGAGAGAAATGAAAACCCTTACTTCGAATTTGTCCTCGGTTGTTGCATTCCGACTGCCCGGCTGGGGTCTTAAGGACGGTGAACACGTTTGGTTGGACACACTTGTTGGTTTGGCTCGAAGCCGGCCCCAATGGCGTTTGTGTTGTGTGTTCCTTTGTCCATCCCCCTCCAATCACGATCTCGTTAGGCATACTAAAACTTTTTGCGGCACGATAGCCGGCTATTAGCTCTCCGGAACGATGTCCATCCGTTACTGAGGACTCAGCCGGCGTGTCACTGTTTGTTTTCCTTTTCTTGTCTTTAGTATTGTGGCACAATAATTGAGGTGTTTTCCACCTACAACTAACGTCTATCATGAATGAATCAGCGCAATGCCCACGGCTGCCTGATCGTCAATCGAATCTTTGTCAACTCTGATAGATGCTTTGAGAAATTACCGCTCGGTGCAGTGGCTAGTGCACGGTTGTTTTTACTCTGCGACGGCTGTTGCATCATGAACTTCTTTGTATTGCATGAGTAGGATACTAGTAAGTTGCCCAGAGCTGGACATGAGAACAACCAAAGTTCTTGGTCCAAAGTCTGGCCGCAAGGCAGCGAGGTTTAGGCTCTGTGCTAACCAGAGTCTGTTTTATGGAGTAAGAAACGACTCTCACTTCAACCCTCTACCTGGAGGACCAGGGGACTGTTTATCTTGTCTGCAACCATTGGCCAATCTGATATGACTGACTGAGAGTGAGAAAGGCACCTTCAATCATTGCTCAATGGATCACTGAGACATGCGAACCATGGCGTGAAAGCTATGTTTGCGCATGACCTAAGAGGTGTATGTACTGCGTTCCGATAGCCAGGACCAGAGAGTTACTACCAGTAACATAAAGTATTCCCTTACTTACGGAATTTGTGAAGTCAACCATTAACACGATTTCTAATATTTCTTTAATTGTAGGGAAGATTGGTTCAATACATTACTGATTATATTCTAAGGACCACTTGAATGCCTTTGCACACTACGTCGGCTGGTGGCCGAGTGGTATGTGCGTCTGGTTTGCAACCATAAAATCATCGGTTCGAATCCGCCTAGGGGCGGGCGTCCTCGCGGTATAGTCAGCCCACGCGTGACTGGTGCTGGTCGCGTGGCAGCAAAGCGCCGCTACGGGGTGCAGCTGGCGATTTATTTTTGTAATTTTATTTTGCACACTACGCTCTTTAGATAGATCATTTTCCTGGCTGCTTTTCAAACAACAGATTCCATCAAAAATACCGGCCTTAATCGGGTTTCTTCTTGTCCCACAGATGCGCCCTTCAAGAGACCGGTTATTTCTACGTAAAGAAAAAGGACCAAACGGAGGAGGCACACCTACTTCAGTATTGGGTATGTTTTGTTAGGCTCTTTCAGTTCACATGGCCATTAATTTCCATTAACATCAGAAACCCTTGAGTACATCAAAATATTCGCCTTGAAGATTCTAAATGCTGTCTCACATAGCCGGTCCGTGGCCTTAAGGATCACAAGCCCGTCTTGTAATCGGAGGACGCGGGTTCAAGTCTGCATAGGGGACCGGGGGCCTTATCATTATACTTAACCCACGTGCGACCGGTGGTGGTTGCGCGACAGTAACGTGTGGGTACTGTGTACCGGCGTACTGCTGATACCTTCCTTTCACATAGCTACTGTCAGCGGAAGTTGTATCTTTCTGTACCGACCTTGTCCTATGCGACGTTTGTAACTTGCATAGCAATAGAAAACGAGACGCACTTTATCACAGTTAACTTGTAAATCATGACGGTCTATCGCACGTGGCATAAACTGCTAGCCGGCGGTTCAAGCTGCTATTAGTCATGGATTGCTATCCTGATTGATCCGGTAGATTCGCACGGCTGACAGAGCCCAACAGGTTGAAGCTGCTGTCTAGTGCTTTTCCAGGCATGTGGAGAACTGTCTGATTTGGAAGCTACTGCGGTGATGATCTCTCAATCCATTTCACTGAGCCCCACCTTTTAAAATGAACCATCATTTTGTTGTTCATGATAGTTGTCTCGCTTACCTACTTCAAGTTTCACTGTGCACACACTCCATGTTCCCCCATTTTAGCTCTCCCCTGAATGTCTCGATAATTGCCTATCCGATCTACAATTGTTGTTACAATTGAAGTTGGTGGTCTCGTTTCTACGGCGTTTTCCGAATCGCCCAGAACCTGTGTCTACTGCCACAAAACCTACACCTTACTCCATTTCACCCAGCTTGAGTTCGGTTTTGGCCGCTCGCGTGACGGAGCAGTTTGTGCTACGGAAATGTGGTGAGTTCTGTCTCATGTCAGCGACTTATGTGACACTTGACCCCGGTTGATGAGACCTGCCGTGTCTACGATTGCTCTGGCGACTTCAGCGGTACTAACATTTCACGCTATGCTCATCTCCATTTTTGCACCGGTTAGTGTGGACGCTGCAATAAGCTGTGACGATTGGCTTTTCTCTCTCGAATATGTTACCACTCCCACCACGGGGTCCTCCAATCTGTAGGGCCAAGTGGTTGCTTTTCGTCTACTACATAACTTCGTGCACTGCGCTAGACACCACAGTTCTTCGCCACTAGCTGTGCTGGTCCTGGCAACTGTTTTACTTGAGTTTGGCCGCATCCAGCTTATGCAGTTCCCGCTCATCGTGGCCACCATGGAGTCACGTCAAGCACTTGATTTGTGTGTACTCGTTCATGTGCATACGGGAGGCCCTCCGTTATCAGTGCCTGATTGTGAGCTACATTCAATGAGATTTTGACCCCCCCCCCCCGGAATTCTTTGCCACAAGTGACAGACTAATGTTATCTAATAACACCCTACTTTTTACTTCATTTCAGTGGAATTTCGATTACTGAAATGCAAGTGATCCAGTGGTAATGATTCGGTCCGTGGAAGGCTCACTGAAAAAGTGCTTTCGAATAATCCCGAGCGATTTAAGCCATATGGTGGAAGAATCATTTGGAGGTTAGAAGTGAGAGACCACTTACGCGAGCGCTATTTTCCCCTGGGTTGTACCACGATATGTCTGTTTTTTCCTGTACCTGCTTCGTGATTCTACCAAGAAGTTTGGGACCCATTATCAAAACCTCCTCAGGATGCACATAATTTTTTCCGAAGCACCCGTTACTTGTTTACAGAATAAGGCGCGATAGGAAATCACGAAGACTTTGTAACTGATTATCAGTATATTTGAGAGAATATTCGGTGCTGTTCGCAAGTCAAAATATGCAAATAATTGCAACAGCATACTCACATGCCTCTCGTCCTAGACGAGAAGTGGTCTGTGGATATCGGGTCAAAAAGGAGGGAGGTTGGTATGCTTTAGGTTCGAACAGTTGTAAGACAGGACTAAATATCTGGAAGCCAAGTCTCACTCTGCCGCACAGTATCATCAGTGACAACACACCCTCAAGTTTGATTGAGGAGATAGATTGCTATCTAACCAGACGTTGATATGCCCATGCCTTTCGGTTTGGCCTGGCCAAATGATCCGATCTGGCAACAGTAATGGGGCGCGCGAAAAGGTGTTCCCACGAAATATGTGAACATCCTTCGTGCTCTATGCTCGAACACTACAGATCGCGTCAGGGTCTATGGTGTCCTATCGGATAGCTTTTCGACTACAAGTGGCGTTCGTCAGGGTTATCCGATTTCCCCGTTTTTGTTCAATTTCGTCGTGGATTCTATCATTGAGTGTTCCTTTGCGGAATCTCACGATGTAGGCGTTGTAGTGCTGCTTGGTGAAAGGTTATTTGATCTAGATTATGCGGACGATATCGTCTTGCTTTTCGATAATGTTGAGGCGGCACAATCAACCCTGAATAGCCTATCCAGAGTAGTCCAATTATTTGTTATGCACTTCGCACCTTCAAAGTGCAAAGTGTTGCTGCAGGACCACCAGCCACTTGATGATCCCTTGACACTTGCTAATGAGGAACTCGAGGTGGTGGATCAATTCACTTATCTTGGCAGCTGCATCAGCAATGATGGGCGCATAGAAACTGACGTGAGCTCACGCATTGCAAAGGCCAGAGCTGCCTTCTTGAACCTGCGGCATTTTCGGCGACAGAAGGGAGTTTCCCTTCGTCTGAAAGGCCGTGTATACAAGGCCACATGGAGGGCCGTTCTGCTTTATGGTAGTGAAACTTGGCTTCTTCGATCTGAAGATCTAAAGCGCCTTCAAGTCTTTGATCATCGTTGTTTGCGCAGCATTGCTGGTGTCGGATGGCACCAGCGTGTCCGCAACGATGATGTGCGTAGGTGAGTACTAGGAAGTGATAATCATGCTAGCACTGTAGAACAACAGATAGCACTGAATAAGTTGCGTTGGCTCGGGCACGTGCTACGCATGCCTGGTTACCGCTTACCTAGGAGCGCCTTGTTCAGTCTACCAGGTGTAGCATGGCGCAAGGCTCGAGGTGGACAGAAGTTGACTTGGCAGCGGGAAATGAAGTCACTGACGACCAAACTGGGTGCCGTTGGTCCGTCTCGCCTTCCGGGTTGGAGTCCACGTGACTCACCTTGTGCTTGGCTCGAGACTTTACAGGACATGGCTCGCAACCGACACCAGTGGCGCATCTGCTGCCGTCTCCTAATTGGATTGTCTGTTTAAAGTGTGTTTGGTGCTGAGTTATCTGCAGGGTAATGGCTGATTATGACGCGGGGCAGTGAAAGCCGCAGTTAAGCTGTCTCGCCGATGCCGCCTTATCTTTGCACGATAGCCAGCTGTTTGTGACGTTATGTTGTCTACACAAGGTGTAGGCGCCTTGACCCTGAATGTTTGCTTAGGGCATTAGGGTTTTCAGGTAAGTCCCCCTTCTATCCCTCTTCTTATTCTTTATTTCATAGGTCCTCATGGTTTTATGGCATCGAAGCATCAGTTCAAATGGCTGATGTTCTGCTGTCGATGACGATGATGTGTTGAAACAGGGACAAAATGCTCGGGTCGCGGAACAGTAGTTGTTCCCACGGCCTTCACAACAATTGCCAAAATGAGGATATTCACTGCTCTTGTGCCTCACTAATCACGCTCCCCACCGATGAGTCTCACCACTTAAACTATGCGTTTCTTAGTTATGAGAACAGTCAGTTCCTCTACACAACACATTGGCGTTCATGGGATTGAAGGATGGACTGCACGACAGCACAGCTCTAGTCACCAAGGCTGGACAACTGCCACTTTCCGACACACCCCAGGGGGTTATTTATTGCCTCTTAAGGAAGTCATCGTGCTTTCGATTTGCGTAGGCTTTAAGGAGCATGTACGTTACTACTAAGTCTGACAGAACGATCGACGTTTCAAAGCTTATCCGGATTTGTGGGGTCGGTCTTAGAGTCTGTTTCGCCGATCTCATTAAAGCACTGAAACGCTCCCGCTATAGTATTTTAACTTGCAGAAGTTAAGTGCGTTTCGTTCCAATGTCCCTATCTCTTTTCTGCACACAGGCAGTTTTCAATATTGCCTGCAAATGAGTTGACTCAGTTATTGTTTCATGTAATTAGGTTGCTCCATTACCAAGCTATTGAATTGCCGATGATTTCAGCGTCCGTTTCTGGGTATAGTACATCGTATCAAGTTTTCATTGAGTTTTCAACATGTTAACCCAGAAACACAAAACTGCTTTTTCGTTTCCTTTGAATGATATCGGTGTATTGAGAATATTATGTTGCTGGCTACTTTTGGTTACCTGGAATTGCGAAGCACCGCTTTGGTCTGTTTGAGTCTTTCAGCTCGTCCCTCGTCGACGATCCTTCTAACACGTCGACAAACAGTACGTCAGACCAGCAACTTGCACGCCGATTAGGCTCTATTCCGTTGTTCTGCGACACCATTAGCTTACCTGGCCTTGTTCGACCTGCAGCCAATTCGTGTTGACGCTTATCTCCCTTGGTGAAGCTCACATACTAGATCGCCGTAATTCGCTCTATCAGGGTACAGTCATATTTGTAGCCAACTGTTTGGTTTACTTATGTGACTACAGTTTTGCCACTTTATTTAAAGGTATTTTTAAGTCTTTTCGTTTTTAACATGTTGTTTATTTAAACATTATGAACACCATCCATTCAGGCGTCGCGACTGGAGTGCATTGATCGTCATTGCCGCAAACTTCGGATACCCACCATCACCTTTCTGTGTCAGTCAATCGCCGTAATTGATCCGCTTCCGATTAAGCCCAGAATTTGTGTTTTATCAAATCTTCCCATTGCACTGCTTCTTCCCAATGTTTGGCATACCCCATGATATTTCATGGCCATTTTCTGCTGTCACGCTTGTACTTCGCACAATTTTCGTTACTCTGTCTTGTATGAATTTGTGTCACGAAATCCACGACCTCATAGGCACCTAGCATTCGTGATTTCTATATTTTCGATTAGCAGCCTGACTTTATAATTTTTCTTAATTCCTACTGGTGTATAATTGACGGATGCAACTTGCTTCTCGCCTTTGTGTATCTAGATGTGAGCGAATGTGTGCGCGAGCACTATTTGCCTTCGCTGCAACCGAATCAAAGAAAATGCACGTGGCTTGTGGATGCCTTCAGATTGTGGTTCAGCCTACCAGATTGCCAGACCCTGTGGCCTTATTTGAACAAAGGTACGCCGTCTTCCTCTACTGTCTGCTTTTGTGCCCCTCTGTTTTATATTATAGTAGTTATATATTTTATGCGTAAAGAAAGCAATGTCATCAGTATGCCGATGCATGGCACCGCCGCTTCGCTGCCACGCAACCACTACCAGTTGCGCTTAGGCTAATAGCACTTCCAGTTCGTCTGCACCCAAGCAGACCCGAACTGTCGGCTTTGGCTTAAATATCAGATGTTTCATCCCCTCAGTCACCGGTCGGCTTTCGCGCACTAGGCAAGGGGTATGCCGTCATGATGACGCCGACGTCGGGTGTCGCATGTTCCGAGTCTATTATACTGTTCCTCTGAATGAGGACTTCTTTACTTCAAAATCATATGTCCATACTTACAGGCAGTTGTTATACGGAGTGATCTACTGCACCAGTGCCGCAGTCACGAGAATACACTGCACCCGCGTACATCATCTTTATCATTGCGACCAACTGCATTCTCGCAGCAATGGTCGTTTGCAGCTGCTCTAAACCACTTTTCCCAATGGATTGAAGATCTCTGATTAATGTCGCCATCCCATCTCCAGATCCTGCTTCTTTCCGGTGTAGACTCTGGCGCTTCTGTGTATCCACGACAGCTTCTCGAGTCGACACTGACGTGCCGCAAACCGTTGCGGCCATGCTACCTTCTGACTCACTCTTAGCAGTGCCAACATGGCTGGTTCATCAGCAAATTCGCACAGTTTTTGCCACTTACTTCCATGGGGACATGACCTTACGGCCACCGCTGCTCTAGAGACAACACCTTTGTATATCATTGAATGCTGAAAATCCCATGGACCAACTATTTTTCCCTTTCCACAACGCAAAGGAGACACCTAGTTTCCCCTCTTCACCGCTGTCTCATACGAAACCCATCGACATTACGAGCCGTGTCGTTTATGTATTTATGCAACCTCGCAAATGTCATATACATCACTTAGTATTAGTCCGAGTTTATCTAGCTAACCTAAATTGCATAAATGAATTACATAAAACCCAGCGACCATTCAATCGTTGCATCTTGTCGTGCTGCAATCTCAACACGATCGCTGGATTTGCCTTCTGAGGAGAATCACGAAAATCATATTGTGGGTCTTTAAGAATTACCTTGCTCAGTACGACGAAAGGGACTTCAAGTTGAGTAAACTAATGAAATACTAATGAATAATGCCCATTTTAAGATAAGAAGTCTATATAGCGCAGAGATCTCTCTTCGATTATTCTCATCAGGCCATTACAGTAATAAGAAAAACACACGTGGTAAGCTGATGTCAGCTAGTTGAGGACAGCTAAGCCAAGAGTTTGAACGGAGTTAGTAGGTCAGATCGATTCCTAGGTTGATTAACTCAGGGTAGGCCTCGCAGCCGATAGTAAGCAGTTGGAGTCCGATCCCGAGTATCTGCCGCGTGGCCAGGGTAAGAGAAGCAATTGTACAAGGGCTCGTTGCTTGCAAACCTCGCGCTGAGCCAGCTTGATGAAAACTGATTCAGCTTCCTGCAAGAGACGCCTTTTGATGGCGTGGTGAGACACAGTAGAAGATCTTAAACACATCCCATGTTCCATGATAGCACTGTTTATGTTTCTGTCCATGCCTCTTCTTAACGAGCCTGGGCAGTGTTCTGCTATCCGTTTCGACAGACGCCTGGTTGTATGCCCGAGGTATATCGCACCACAAGTGCAAGTAAATTAATACAAGACGTATGATTAGGACAAGACCGGGAGTCTGTCTTTGAGACGCCGGGTAACAAAGAGAGCGGTCTGAGTGAGTACTTGTAGATAGGCGGCTGGATATGTTTTGGACACTGTGTCTGAGTCTCCACTTTACTAAGTCCAAGGCAACATCTCCTTTGAATGGCATATCACATTTTAGTACGGTCAAGGTGATTTCGGAGCGCAGACGAATCGTGGCATGCTTTCTGATAAACTGAATGGGATATCCATTCTCTTGCAATATCCTGAAGATACGATGTTTCTCTGGGCTGCAGATTCTGGCAGCACGGTAGTGTGAGCAATGTACTAAGTTCCGCTTGTGTTGCGAAGGCACAAAGCTTAAAAGTGTGTGTATTGGCTCGTGCATGTCGGCTTCCGGAAAACGCATCTCTCCAGAGAGCTGTGGTTCTGTCGTCTGAGCAACACGTTCAAAAGAAAACCAGTCTTCCCGCGTTTTCCATTTCACTGGTGAAATGTCACGCCGGACGTGCGCTGTTGAAGTCAGCTAAGAGACGAGAAACGTCTCTGTTTGAACCGCAAACGATGAAGATGTCCTCCACATATCGCAAATACGAACCGAACGTTGAGATAACCGGTCGCAAAGGTCCCCGTTCAAGCTTTACCAGGAAAACGTCAGTAAGGAGCGGTTTTATGGGGGACTCCATCCCCACGCCGTCAGTTTGCCTGTGATATATTCCATGAAATAGGAATTGCTTGGCGGAATCGCAAGGTCTATATTCTTGGTGGTAATGTAGTCAGAAAGAAAATTGACGTATTCTAGCAGTGGGACGTTAGTGGAGAGTGCTTCAACATCGCAAGCACGTTCAGGTTCCCTGTGTGTTTCATGAATTCAAAAGAGTCTTTCAGGGAGTGAGTAGGAAGTTCCTTGTGAACTGGCTCCAACACCTCCACTAGCCACTTGGCGAAGGTGTGGAAGGCGGAGGAGGCATGTCAATAATCGGGCGTCGATGTACGTTTGGCTTGTGCACTTTCGGACCTCCTTATACTCTAGGAGGATGCGACCCTACTAGACTTAACCCATCAATTATCGAATCGGTTATCAGATTCGCTTGTCTTAACTCAGTCACCCGTTTGACGATCTTAACGTCATCCTGCGCGGATTTATCCCTTTGAACTACGTCGTATGCAAATTTGCTCGGATTTTTCAAAACAGTTACAAGCTTGGAAACGTAGTCAGACGTATTCACTGATACCCAACCAGAACCTTTGTCTGGTCTGGAAAGTATCATTTCGGGATTCGCTCTCAATCCTTTAACGGTGTATCTGTGTTTCTTAGACAAGATGTTCGATACCTTCGTTTTACAACCTAAGTAATGTTGGGCGAGATGAACCAATGTGGTTTTGAAGGTATCACTCGCGTGCGAAGATGTGGGCGTCAGTTCAGTTAGTTGATGCATTGACATTGGCATTTCCTCTTCCTTATTCTGCTCCGTCGCTAAGTGCCTAGTGGAGGTGTTGGAGCCAGTTCACAAGGAACTTCCTACTCACTCCCTGAAAGACTCTTTTGAATTCATGAAACACATAGGGAACCTGAACGTGCTTGCGATGTTGAAGCACTCTCCACTAACGTCCCACTGCTAGAATACGTCAATTTTCTTTCTGACTACATTACCACCAAGAATATAGACCTTGCGCTTCCGCCAAGCAATTCCTGTTTCATGGAATATATCACTGGCAAATTGACGGCGTGGGGATGGGGTCCCCCATAAAACCGCTCCTTACTGACGTTTTCCTGGTGAAGCTTGAACGGGGACCTTTGCCACCGGTTATCTCAACGCTACATCACAGAATGGACCGTGGTTGAAATCAATTCCTCTTTAATGATGATTCAAGGGGATTTGAATTCCGTTGGTTTTGACTCGCTTCCGCTGGTCGGATTGTTGCCTGCTTAGTTTTTTTCGGTCGCGAATGTTAGTTCGGCCACCTAAAGCCTGTAGTTCACTTAGTCTCTGCTTTTCAAATATCGAGATATGTAGAAAGAACTTTGACCACCTCAGTCTCTCCCATGTTGAATGCCCAATTCTGCATTGCTCGGCTGTCTGGATTGATTATGTCTGCTAACTCCCTTACTTTCCATTCCTTTGTTCTCTGCCTCGATGCTCTTAGCGAGTGACCCCGGTGACTCATCTTAACTTCACCCCGCCCCCCATGGACCTGTCATTGTTCTCTTGACATAAGCGATTTTGTGTTCCCACAACTCGTGTATCCAGTGTGGCATGTCTGTCTGTCCTCGGCCCGTTCCCGTTGGCGGACGCTTACGATTGGCTCAATTGCCTTATCATAACTTCGGTCTCACTTCTGTGTTCATTTGTTTCGTGTGCACCTTGGCTTACGGACCTTTAGTGGAACTGATTGAAATCTGTTGGTAAACTTTTGTGTTTGGAAAACCGTTAAGGTAATTTCTACTTTGGTACGATGAATTTGTACAAATAGCACCGTTTTCTCAGGTCCGGATCTGGTCTTTTGTTGAATTTTCCGGTGGGGAACGCGTAGCTTAACTTTCCAAACGCCTTGGAGCGTTACAAGATATTCGTGTAAACCAGAGGGCTATTAAATTCCCAAGTCCTGTGTGGTGAATCGCCACGTAACTTCACCGCTGGTGTTGGTTAATTTGACCGATATATATATATATATATATATATATATATATATATATATATATATATATATATATATCACAATCTTTGGTACGGCTATTGTGACGTCGGGATCATGGTGGAATAAGAAACCAGAATCAGTATTGGAATAAGACAACGTACTTTTTTATGGTTTTTCGCTCACCGTTTGAGATTCTTTACTTTTTATATTGCGTTTTATTTGGGAATAAGAGGGGAAATCATCGCAACACATAGAGATACATATCCGCCATTGACTCCCATCTAGAGCCATGACATCTCAAGTCTCTATCTAGGGACACTTTGAATTTCTGAAATCCCATTTAGGGACTTGAGAACAACCTACTGACGCCAACTTTTTGCTGTGGCTTTTCCAAGTTGTAGGTTTTCCACCGCGCCGTCTCTTCCAGCCCTGTCCGGTAACCGCCAACAACGCCCGACGCGCAACGCGATGAGTGGACATGTCCAGACAAGCGCAACTGTCGCAGCGGGACTAGCTCCTCCAGCGATTGGCTTCCTCCACCCAAGACATGCTGTTTAACTTACACGTTGGTTACGTAGTGTAGCCACTACACACGGGCAATAGAGCGCAATCAACGGTGCTCATTGACAAAGAGTCGGCGCATGTGAACAGTATGAACAGATCAAATCTCGCAACCGTACTACAATAGAGTGTGAACAGTCGCACAAGAAATCCGCTGTTTGATGGTGAAACGGATATCATGGCGACGCCACAAGTTCTTCAGCTTAAAGAAAACGAGACGAGCTGAGATAGGCATCGAAATCTCGTATCCGACAGAACGTTATTGCCACCCATTTTGTCTGTGATTACTTAGGTTCGTTTGCTGATCATTTGATAGACGCTATAGCAGTCTTTCTTTTCGTCCGCGGAGAGATCAGATTCATTGGCCTAGTGGTTTTGGAAGAAAAAGAAGTTGACGCTCGCCTAACTATTAGGAAATACAGCGGTTCACTAAGCGTTGCAGTTTCGGTTCCTCACCAAGCGATGCACTATTTAAGATGGATTACTGTGGCGTATTGGGAGGGCTAAACAATTGGAAAATATCTACGGATGGGTCTCCGCATCTATATGTCTGAAGCATGCGGTCATTTTCAAATCGAGTACCGCTCAAATACTTGTCATAACCCTCCATCTATGTGTGACCCAGTTGGAAACACTTGAATGAACACTTGGTCACGTTCGGTGGCCGGTTCTTTTGAATTTGGTGCTAAGGGACGTTCTTCGTGTCTCTTTATGTCTTCGTTTCCTCATTTTCAGCGCTGTCTTGTAACAGTTTGGCGATACCACAGTGGTTGGCGCTGTTCACAGTTCTACCTTTTCTTCACGTATATACCTAACGATATATTTTTTTCATGTAACCTACTCCCAACATTGCATTCCTCCATCGATTTCGTGCTTGTTATCACTTCTCGTAAAGAGGTCGCCGAACCGGGGCTCGATGCCTCAGCGTTGAACTGCCGGTAACCACCTTTACCGCAGTCCTACCGGGATCTGTGAATAGCGCCTATCACAACGGTTAGGTGGCAATCGGTGATCTCTTTGGGCAACCGTTGTGTCTACGTATTACCGCATGCGATCTCATTTTGAACTGCGACCCAATTTCACACATTTGTCTTTGTGCACGCTCGTTGCTTATGGTTACACATTATCATTTTTTTCCTTCTCCCAGTTGAACCTGGCTGCAGTCTGGCGCAGTTTGTCAAAACCGTCCGTCCCGGTTGTCCCAACACTACTTCGGGTAGTGGCCTCTTTTGGTTGTACAGTTTTCTTTTCCTCTCCTCCTAGCTTTGTTGTCCTCCAGTAACTCAAAACCTATCTCCCTTGTTCTCGCTCCCCCTTTTTGTACATTTTGGCTAACTGTGAGGTTCGGCCCTTGTGCTATTCGCCAACCTTCCACATCTCTTCCCTTTGGTGTGATGTTTCGTCTGTTCATTCTCCTAGAATAATATTACTCCACTTTCGATTGATTCTCCGTCACTATTCTCCCTTTTTCTGATAGCTTTTTGCTCACTGCATGGTAGGGGTCACGTTATGTATGGCTTTTTGGCACACATTTCTGGTTCATTTTTCTTGTCCCACCAAATCAGTAGACTCTTCCTTTTTGTTATACCCAGGGTCATGGGTGTTGTTGCTTCTTTGTTTTATCAATCGGAGCACTTCAGGCTGTAATTTGCGCCGAAATCTGATTGACGAATCTGCGTAAGCAACTGGTTTTGCCAAATAATCCGACGTCAGATCTGCTCAGTATCTTGTCATTTTCACTGTTCTGCGTTCATCCGTCTACGGTGAACCAATGTGTTTTGGACTCAATTGATTTGCCCCACAACACCATGATTGTAATGTCCAAATGATATAGAATGATTGATGAGCACGAAAAACACGTTTGCATTCAAACGATTGAACATACACTACAGTCTTACAGTGGAAGAGCTGGGGCTATAGGGGGCTCCACAAGCTTCATAACTGTACAGGGTTTCAAACCCTGTCCTGATTGACTTCATTGACCCTAGGCTGTAGGGCAGCACGCAGGAACCGTACCAACACGACTGGATGAATATACCACCTACTTTCTAGCTACTTCAGCCACCATTCCATTGATCGAACGATCAATGTTCACTTCAGTGGGAATCGCGGTCCACATTTAGAATGCACACAACATGTGCTTCAAAATGACCTTCCAAATACGTAGGACATCTTAAATCCTCGTGGACATCCTCCTCACAATTCCGCCAATACACTTGCTACCGCAATTACTCGGTGGCAAATGATACTACGCTGCCTGCTAGCTCCATTGCCCAGCATATGCTTTATTGCTCATGCAAACGCCGGCGAGAACCGTTCAATATCACCAATTGATAGTGCATTACTCCTCTACTTGGGTTTGCAAAAGCTTCAAAGATTCGTCGACAGAAAACCTGTATGTAAATGCAGGCAGAGTTTTGACTATTCTCGCTTTAAAGCAATTAGTTCGCTTCAGATATTTGAAAAGCGCGGAAAAAAGGTGAACACTCATTGATGCATGCATTTCGCATAGTCTCTTTCAGTACCACTAACTATAACCGATATGCCTAGAAATAGCTAACATTGGGTGCGATTAGACATGCTTCAGGTGCAGAGTGGGTAACGGAAGTTCACACCAGTGTCCATGGCAGCCTTAAGGTGACCAATTGTTTTTGATACTCCATCCGGCTTATTGCGACCGCCTCAGCAAACCGAAGGAAGCGTGGATTATCGTGACGCCACACAACTGTGAACGCGAAGCTCAGCTCTATCCTGTGATCTGAGACCAATAGGTGTTTACCTATCGAGGAAGCCGTCGGACTACGCGAGCACCGGTGTTGTGGGTGTTTGGACGATTTCCTGCTGAACCCATTCTCGACACATGTTCCTTTATTCGGGAAGTCAGAGTTCGATCACTTCTGCCTATGTGACTGCTTCCTCAGTAGCACACGAATTGGTATACACCGTGTGCGTTTGCCCCGTAGACTAAACTTCTTACGTTGAAGGGACTGAAAACCAGCTTGGTCGTCTGTAGTATGGCAAAAACACCTCGGAACGGTAACTCGGTATAAACCTTCTTCTTGACTACCATTGGTACCAAGTCCTTCGACCGAACTAATAGAACTCTAACTTCTCGAATAAGGAAACCTGTGCGGAAATTGGATCGTCACGAAATTACCCAAACTCCCTACCGCTCTCGATCCCGGTGCTCGCGTAGTCCGACTGTTTCCTCGATAGGTAAACACCTATTGGTCTCAGCTCACCGGATAGAGCTGAGCTCGGCGTTCATAGTTGTGTGGCGTCGAGCTAATCCACGCTTCCTTCGGTTCACTGAGGCAGTCGCAATAAACCGGATAAAACCAGCTTTGTATTTGTCAGCCTAAGGTTACAATGAACATAGATGTGAACTTCCTTCACTCATTGCATCTCAAGCATGTCTGGTCGCACCCAATGTTAGCTAATCTTGCTTTCCCTTGGTGAGCTTATCGATTAGCTTTAATTAAATAGAACGATTTCACTCCTTGCCTGACCCTTCTAGGTAACAGGATGATTCCACAGATTGTCTTTACGCAACTGGTGAGAAGATAAGAAACATGTGAATTTAGACTTCTTAGTTGAAATGTTTCTTGTTATTTTCCAACAACTACCCGACTGTTTTCAACTCTAGATTCAAGGGTTTCCGATAGGTTCCAACAGCAATTGATGGTAGTCATTTTCTAGTGAACCACCGCTATTGCCTTAAGAATATAGCTCAGGAGCATCAGACCGGCCAGTAGTCTTAGGGATCACGAGCCCGTCTTGTAATCCGGGAGTGCGGTTTCCTACCTGCGTAGGGTGCTGGGCGACTCACAGTATCTTTAACCCACGTGCGGCTCTTGGTGGTTACACGGCAGTGAAGCGTTGGTACTGCATACCAGCAAACTGCAGATGTCTTCTTTACCAGAAACTTCAGTCGTTGATCTGATGACTGCCCTAGTCTTATTTTCACGAGCAGTTTCAAAATAGCTTCAATGAAACGATTCTAAATGCGGTAGACCCATAAGAGGTTCCTTGCGTAGTAATGGTGGCTGAAACGCCTTTTCAGTTTTGTGTATAACACGATGCTTGCTCAGTTACCCTTGTCAACCTGATGTTACTACGCATTCCTTCATTTGACGCGAATGCGAATATGCACCACCTTTTGATGAGTCTAACCTGAACCTCTCACCTGCTGTTACAGAGTGAGCCGTTTTCGTAAGCCAGCGTTAATAGATCCCATTGGTTGTTCATCAAAATTGCAATAGTCGAGACATCGCTCAGCTTGATTTAATCCATCAGCTTAAACCACGCATGCAGGTGCGCTCTTCCTGAATAAATCTGTTTCTGTATATGCACAGTTTATCTGCCCATGGTATGTTTGCACAAATTCCTCTCAAATTTGCTACGCAATGCGAAGGTTTCTGAGATCTACCACATTGATACGGTCTCTGTGTCATGCACAATGCTCCGGATGACGGACTTCTGTGAAGGCGCGAGCAGCCGCTCCCACTGCAGCGGCCGGATTTGACCAGAGTGCAATACTGGCTGTTCGGGCCGCCTTAAATGCGGCATCCACAATGCATTGATCGTCGGCGTCCCGTGGACTGGAAGCACCAGATTGTGACCTCATTTTTGTGCCTGTCCATGCGCGCCAAATTCGAAGTTGTCCATCAGCACCAGCTGTGATGTACTAGCAAATTGATATGGGGATGAGAAAAGGGGAAGCGAAATGAAGCATCATGCACCTAAATTTGTTTAAACGCGCTATGAGTCACAGCCAAAGTGAACCTCCTTGGAATGCCTAAATCACGAATGTTCCGTCTTGCTAGAGCATGTAATAATTCTGCTAATGTTGCTGATATACATGACCACTCGTATTGGTGTTCAACCTTCACATTAAGACTGGAAATCTAGAACAAACGCAGGCAAGAGCCGTTAGGTAGTGAATTAGACAAATGGATCTTCCAATCTCTGGGTCAGTGAGTACTTGTGGATTAAACTGCTCTAGGCGAACAAGTTCGCTTGAGTGAGTTGTCTAGATTTTAAGTTGGTATCGCACATGACTAATGCCCAGAATTTCTTTGGTTTTAGATTCCCGAGACAAAAGTGTGGCGTCTGTTACCAACGTGGTTACACGTGAACGCAACAAAGGTAGTGACATTGTAGACAAAGAGAGTTGATATTAGTTACTATGTGCACTACGAAATGCAGAAACAATAGTAAAGCATTCTACTTAAGAAACGCCTCATAGCTCTCCTTTGATAAATGTTAACAACAACGATAGGGTCACATCAGTATTCTCCTATGCTGCCTATAGTCGTAAAGACGCCGAATTTCCGCGAAACGCTGGAAAATCACAGAATTTGCAAACCGTCGTGAGAAATGAAATGTTTCCTGGAATTGCAACAAAAAATGTGAAACTCATAAAACTACTTTGAACTCGTTTTTTGTTTTAATCATTGCACTGGTGTTTGGGAGAAATGCAAGAGCAGCCATCTGGCTACTGGGGCATTCCTGTGCATCATTTGCTATCCAAATCTGCTTGTCACGAGACCCAAGTGCCATCCATTCATTTGACCATTACGCAACCATATCCCATGCTGTCCATTATACAAACACCCCTGTCCCACATGTACGGCAAATCTGTTAGTTCACGCTGCGCACACCTAGCCGGCAAACACCGCCCCACCCCCCATTACGGTTACCCGCATAGTTGATGCACTGAGGCCTCTTAGGCGTTGAACAGCGGTCATATCGTTGCATACGACTCGGTGGCGTAATATAAACGACCGTGTTAATTCGCTGACAAACTGAAGTCGTCGTCATTTGTCACCACTAGGCGAGAACGGTGATTTGTACCCTCTTTGTGTCCTTCGTTGTTTCAGTACTGAACTGTTTGTTACTGTTGAGGTTTTCATCACTGAATTCTTATCTTCTATTGCATAGTGCTGTAGTTCAGTCTCGGCTTCGTTTGCCCCGGTATTTCTGAGCGTCACTCGATAACCAAGCGAATCTGCTGCTTTCAATAATCAACAGATGTCGTCTCAGGAAAGGAAACAGCATGTAAGAGGAAAAACTAGTATGGATAGTGAGTTTTCTGGAGAATACTACCTCGATAACACGGTTAAAAAGCTGCTGTTTTGTTCATCGAGTGGAGTGACTGTGAGTCCATCGCGAAAAGTAGCCGTGCTTGACCATATTCGTAGCCAAAAGCATCTTCCGAAGAGAGCTTACATGGAGGAGCAAGCATCTAAACTTGTTGCCAAGTGAGAACCAGCTGCGAAATAAACTCGACAAGCAAGCATCTATAGTTTCCTCGCGGAAAAGGGATTATTAGTCATGTAGCCAAAATATAGGCGAAAACCTTTTTAAAAGGAAATAAATGGTAGGACAAGTGGCGACAGGGTTGGCAAGTCAAATGTGCTATACCGATTCAACTGCTTCTGTGGAACTAGGTATATTGTACGCACGACCAGGCACTTAGAAAATCGAATCACGGAGCACCTAATGAATTTGCTCACCAATCGCAGAGAGAAATCTAATCTAAGTGCAATTGCTAACCATCTGATTGTCACTGGACACAGTACTGACAAAAGTAGTGTCCTCCTCCATAAGGTACTGTCACACGGCCCGTCAGATAGCAGCACGACTACTTGCTACTGCTGAAGCAGTAAGTATAAGACTGATGAACCCTAATCTCTGCATCCAAAAGAAGCTCATTCAAGCCTTACAACTCCTATGGCCATCAACCGTGCGAGAGGAATTTGCTGCCGCCAATCACCTGATCATCTGATTCTATTCACGAGAACTGTTTGTTTAATTTTATGTACTCAATGGTATGTCACTATACTGTCTGGTACATCATAAGTATATTCCTTTACTAGGTCTGATGAGGAAGAAATGGAAAACAAGTGTTTGTCCTAAGCGTTCTGTTTACGTTTCTTCTCGGGTTTGACAACCAAATGGGCATTGTGCACGAAATTAAGCAAGCAGTTTATCTTGTGTTCACCATGTGAACCCCGTCAAAGATTTAGTATCCAGCTGCGGCATGAAATACGACGTTCACGAGACTAGCACATTTTTTTCACTGCTCCTGATAGCCATCGGAAGGTGATAGCGTCACACACATTTTACTCGCATCTTTTTTAGGTGACCTCAGCGAAGATGCTACTTGTATGGTTGTTTTCATGTGATGTCCAAGTTCATGCTTGCGGCGTGTCACATGTACACAATCTAGAATTCCAGTGCCATCAATCGCGCCCAGTATTCCAGCGAGACGGTTCTTTGCCCGCCACCTACTTTAACAGTTGACACCAACGGACAAGGAGAAGCCGCCGTCCGGTAACAGTGGATGTGTATGCGATGCACCATATCCGCACTTACGCTTGGGTCCAACGAGTCAAGTGATCAACAAAACCTACTAATCGTCCACAGTGTTTATAGGATGACATTGCACATAGACATCGATGTCTGCGACGGCGAACGCTTGAACTTCCTACTGAGGAGCCCAACTTCATTGCAGCTCTTTTAAGATGAATTTGATAATCACCTTTCTATCCCCATGATACTTGGTCATTATCACCTGATGAACCATGTGCGACACGGGTGACCTGCTGACGCTTATGTGTCACAATACAAAGTAGTGTTGCACGACTTCTTTCTGGACACTGGGAGTCCCACCGTACGAGGTACACGATAAAATTTCCTTCGTTATTATATATCAAACCATGATATAACTGCTACTGAGTTCGACCATGGTAATCAACCAGATGGGTCATGCTTGATTTTGGTTCCCTGGTGTGAAAAAACGATGTCGATCGCAACTCACCTGATCCCATTCTGTCAATGCAAGGATAGAGTGTATGGCGTCCACGTGACCCGCATAATGCTGATACATATGGCCCGTGTCCAAGTCGTATGTTCTGTGATGAAGGATGGCACAGGAAAGAGATGAGCACATACTGTGGATACTGTGTGACTACTTAGTTGATTGGGATATCTGGAGCTACAGTGGGAAGTATTGCAAGATTTTCAATAGCCTAATATTAGTGAGCAACTGAATGATATTAACAACGTATCTGTGCAATTCAGACAAATTTGGCAATCGCGGTCACTAACATTATTGTTGCCACATCACCATGCAATTAAAACAGGCAACATTGTGCTTCAATATGGGATTGGTTGATGTGGAAGAGGAATGGTTTTGTTACATGATCTCTTATACTTTGACAAATTTGTTTTCTAGTTGACAAATTCGTACTTCATCTCAAGACAACATTAGGTTAATGAAGGACATTCAGCTCAATGCTGTGTGCGGACGACATTTTCGGGAGGAAAACATCAAATATGCATCAAATTCACTAGTGCTTTATTTCAACTTGTATACAAGCAGCGGTCCTGTGCCAAGTTAGTCGCGCCCAAAAAGCTGAATAAATTTCATTCCACTTTATATGGTCTGTTCTGCCTACCTGAATAATCTAGTAACTGGCCACGTTGCTTACGCTAATTGCGCAACTTTGGTGCGTTTGTAGCATTTGTAAGTAACTTGTGGAAATTTTTTCCTTATCACGGATTCAGTGCTAACCCACGTCATATGCTAATTTAGCGAAGTGTTATGCCCCCGTATCTCTCTGAACTATGGTATCTATTTTCTGTCATCTTGTCGTTTCAAGTGATTGGCTGCTGCTTGATATCCCCTGTGTGACTGCGCTTGATGTGCATGTTGACAAGGTGCCTACCTGTCTATTGCCCACTATCTCATCTATACTGGCTCCAGGAGACAGTTGTTCGTTGCTGGAGGGGACGGGCTGCACAGTCCTTGTGGCCGCGCTAGGCTCGAAGAGTAATTCCATGCACTCAGTGTAGAGCGGACTACGGTGCAACCACCGCCTTGTGTGCGCTTGATTCCCCATATACAGTGTGCTTGTGTTTGTCTGTGAAGGAGTGTGGGCCGGCTCCGTTGATGTAACGTGGCTCTCATGCACATGCCTCCCGGTCTTATTCCTTCGGCTTCATGCCAATGGTAAGCTGATGGTTATTCCACACTCGGCATTCTAACTTCCCGAAAGCAGTCGCTGCCTTCGAGATGCAGATACGAAGCCCACTGTGAAGCTGTTAGTCAGTTGACACCACCATCCCAAATTAGCAGAAGCAGGAGGTGGCTTCTAATACTTCAGCACCGATGCTAATTTGCGGCAATATTGAAGATGGCATCTCCGGTAAAGGCTGAAAGAGATAGACAGTATTATTTGTGTTGATGGTGAGCCCGAATTTGACAGCTGTCGAAGCCAGAGCACTAGTCATATGATGCAACTCATCCGCACTGTGGGATTACAACGCACAGTCGTCAGCAAACAACAACCCACGGATAGTTGTCTCACAGACTAGAGTTCTCGCACCGAAACGATGGATGTTTAGCAACTCACCATCAATACGGTCCTCCACACGAACACCGTAAGCACAAGCGGCATCAAAATCAGAAAACATCATTGCGTGGAGATATAAATTAAACAGGACAGGAGCTAAGACACAGCCTTGCTTCACACCAGTGACAACTGCAAAGTCATCCGAGATCTCTCCACTCAGCTGCACACTCGCTCGTATACCACTGTGCAGACATTCTGTTGAATTTAAAAATTACGCGGGCAACCAAACTTACTCAACACCAGCCACAATGCCTATCATTTCGCCGTATCGAATGACTTGATGAAACCAAGGAAAAAGGAGTGCAAAAGTTGGTGCTGTTCTCTAAACTTCTCCTGCAACTGACGAGCCGCAAACACCATATCTATAGTGTTGCGACCCGGACGGAATCCACACTACTCTTCCGCCACGTTCGGTTCCACAATCTGACTCACGAGGCGGTTGGGAAGGATTCGGACAATCATCATGCCCCCACAACTCAGCAAGTTGGTGCCACGATAATTCGTGCAACATCGTTTGCTACCTTTGCCATTATACAGTGGTAGCACAAGGACATCCTTCAGCTCAGGAGGCACCTCCTCCTCAATCCATACGCGTTGCACCAAGTGGTGCAGCGCAGCCAACAACGCGGGTCCGCCGTGTTTCAATACTTCAGGCTGGATACCGTCAGCACCAGTACACTTGCCGTTTCGCAGCTGAGCAAGTGCTCTCTGCGTCTCATCCAGTGTCGGCGTGTTCACCAGAGTCGCGTTCGTATGGTGCGGCTTGAGCCACTCAAATTAGGCCAGTCGATCTCTGAACGGTTGTTCAAGAGACAGTCAAAGTGTTTCCGCCAGATCTGCATTATGTCTGCAGTTTTTGTGCAGGTAGCGCCTGAGCTGCCATCGATTAGCGTCCTTAGCGGCTCCAATCTCGGTCAATACACCGCCTTCAAGGAGTCAAAGAATTTTTTATGTTAGCGGCGTTCGGCGTAGTATTCCACCTGCCTCGCCTTCTCCGTCCACCATGCATTTTTTATGCGACGGGACTCTCGGGTCAGTCGCCGTCTATGTTTGCTAAACTGACCATTCTTCCCCAAGTCACTGGGGTCTCCCACATGTGCAGCAAATGCTGCATTCTTCTCCGGCACCAATGTGCCAATCATCGCATTGTTGTCATCAAACCAATCAGGCCGTTTACAGTGTGCGCGTCCGATGGTCTCCTCGGCGGCAGCTGTCACCTGGTCGTGAATGTGGTGCCACAGGTCGCCCACTGCGGCTATGCCTTCTACATCACGCAGACGTGCAGCCATCGCGTTCTCCAGCTCAATACGTTTCGCCACAGTACCGAGAGAGAGAATGTTAAATTTATACCGATTCACGGCGGCAGTGCAATACATAGATTTACGAAAATATATGTACAGTTCGGTCCGCAACAATTTGTGATCAGTGCCACACTCAGATCCACGCAATACACGTGTCATGCGTACTTCACGCATGTCATGCTGACGTACGATGACATAGTCAAGCAGATGAGCGTGACCACTCCGTGGGTGCGTCCAAGTTGCTATATCACTCACACTCAGTGCAAACCGAGTGCTCGTGATCGTCAGACCGTGAGTGGCACACAGTGAGAGCAGCCTGTCACCGTTCGCTTTCGCTGAACCAATGCCATGCGAACCGATGACATCTGTCCACACCGATGCATCGCGCCCAACGCGCGCGTTGAAGCCACCCAACCGAAATAGTCGGTCGCTCCTCAGCACGGACCGTATCACGGAGGATAACTGAGTGTAGAATTGATCATGCGTGTCATTGGGATAACGCATGGTCGGACCGTACGTGCTTATAAAAGTGGCAAACTTACCTATGCCGAGTCGTGGGCGAACAGTCATCAGTTGCGCGCTGATGCCTTTTGCTTCACCCACGAACTGGCCATGGATGCGGTTGGATATTGCAAATCCGACCCCATGTTCACGTGGTGCTGCAGCGGCTTTGCTCATCCAGTAGCACGTGTAGTCAGCACCTGCTTCTTGCAACTTACCTTGGTCAACGAGCCGGATTTCCCTGAGCGCCGCAATATCAATGTTGTAGCGCGCCAGTTCCATCGCGATCAGTGCAGTGCATCGCACGGAGCACACAATCGAGTTCTGCTCCAGTAGTGTGCGCACGTTCCAGCACCCGCTACTGAGTGTTTTGCGCGCAGGTGTACTATTGCATTGGTGGACAATCGCAAGCGAGGTGGCGGATGCGCTTCGGAGTTTTGCTTAAAAGACTCCACCCGGAGCCTTTGGGTCAATAGCCTGACCCACATGACAGTGTATTGTTTGGAGTTTCGTTTGAGAGTCTCCGCCCGCAGCTTAAGGCTCAATATCCTGACCCACAACGCAGTGCGGAGTAGACCCAGCTCGGGAAAGTGATTGGAAAGACAGATTGGGATCTGCTTGACGGACGTCACATGCAGTCTTTGAGATACTGGAACGATTCATGTATGTTTTGCGACCGTAATAGGATATACCTGCGACCACGGTCAGACGCAGGTGGGTTTTGGTGGGTTTGCACCAATTTCACCAGGAGCTGTCTGGCCTGAGGCGAGCAGTAGCAAACCATTGAACACCTGGAGGTGCTCTCCCACAGTCAGAGACAATGGCGCTCCTGCTCTACGCCAGTTGATCTGTGAGCTTATAACGCGTGGACCAGTTGTCACCAATGGCTAGGTTTTACGGGAAGATGGCCATCGACCACTTACTAACCTCCGAAGAAGATGAACTAGGATACTGGCAGGGCGCCCACATCTGAGAGGAGAACGACTCGGGTCCTCAGTCAAAGCGTTCGATTAAATGTACACCCGCAAAGTAGCGGGTTTAGCATATGGTCAGTTCACTGAATCATGCGGGTTAGCGTCCTAGATAGTAGTAGGGAGACGGGCGTACCGCAAGTCCCACCCAGCGGTCGCCACGAGGAGGCGTCCAGGACATGAGCCAATGGCACAGCAGTAGCAGCAGTGGGTAGACCATCTGTCAGGATCTAGCCACCACCAGCCTCAGGGTAACATAGACTCTCCCGCCACATACATAGATGATGATGATTTGGCGGCGCCTGTATCCGGATTTGCCTGTCACTGTGATCTCCGTGAGGGCAGTCACAGGAGGCCTGGACCTATAGAGGGACCGTGGGTGGCTTGCGATGCACCACCTATAGTTCCACCCACACACCGCATATCCAGTGTAAACCCGAAGAAATAATACCGGGTGACATATGAATGAGAGCCAAGTTTCATCAACGGAGCCGACCCACACTCCTTCAACAGGCATAGCAGAAGCATTCCAGCCTAATTGGGAAGCCGTGCACACCAGACGTACACATGGCGGTGGCTGGACCCTAGCCCGTTCGACCCAGGATGCAACCACTCTTTGGGCCAAGCACCGTCACGAGGACGGTGCACCCCGTCCCCACCAACAAAGACCAACTGTCTCCTGGAGCCCGTATGGAGGAGGTAGTGTGTAATAGACAGGTAGGAA